ATTCAGAAACTGAGCTAGTTAAAGACTGTATGATTAAATGGGCTCAAAATATAGGAGAAATAATATCTATGGATACCTGGGAGTTGATATGGGTGAGAAATGTGAAATTTACGCAGGCACAAAACCTACGTGAGAATTTTTATAAGATGTTTTACAGATGGCACATGGACCCTGCAACTATGTCTCGCATTTATGAGAACTATGAATCCAAGTGCTGGAGGTGTGGACAACAAGATGCAACTTTTTTTCACATGTGGTGGACTTGCAAGGTTATTAAGGTCTTCTGGATAAAATTATGGTGGAATTTACAGCAAGTTTTTAAAAGAAGAATTTTTTTTTTGCCTCAGTTGTTTCTCCTAGGTATCACACATAATTTGGATGTAAAAGAAACGAACTTGATGTTATATTGTTTAACTGCTGCCCGTTTGCTGATAGCTCAAAATTGGAAGAGTAAAGTTTTACCTACAATAGAGGACTGGAGAGTGAAGGTTTCGCATCTTGCTGAGATGGCAAAGATTTCGGCTTATTTGAAGGATCACTCAAATGAACAATTTTTATCAATATGGAGAAGATGGATTGTTTATATTCAAAATAAGCATAGAATGGTGGAATATAAGTTAGGTTTTTAGATAAAAAAATTTTTTACATATATATATATTGCACCTACTTATGTAGAATTACATTTTGTGGAGTTAGGGATATTAATATAAGGTTACTTTTAGTTGAATAGTATTCTGGGATTAGGTTTGGGAAGTCCGGGTGGGGGGTGGGGTGGGGGTTTTAATTGTGATGTACTTGTGATGTGTTTTCTTTTTATGTTGAAAACAATAAAAAAACTTTAAAAAAAAACAAAAACAAAAACAAAACCTTCCAGGCATTGTTTATCCTAAAAAGTCTTTAATCGTGAAACACATTGTCGGCATAGCATGGTGGATGCCAAGATCTGAATTCCCCTCCCCCTGAGCACATAATATTCCAGCATATTCCCCTCCTCTAATTTGCAGTCATAAATCACGTTGTCCAATTAGTTTGAAGGGCAAAGTTTCCCTTCCATTCTGTAGCTGGTTTCTTATCTTAACTAATCCACACACACACATTCTTTCTCCTCCCCCTCCCAGCATCATCTAATTCAGTGTTTCTCAACCTTGACAATTTTAAGGCATGTGGACTTCAACTCCCAGAATTCCACAGCCAGCATTGCTGGCTGTGGAATTCTGGGAGTTGAAGTCCACATGCCTTAAAATTGTCAAGGTTGAGAAACACTGATCTAATTTAACTCTAAAAATACCACACAGCTTATTCAGAGAGTCAAAGCAAGAACATCCAATGTTAGCAGCATTGACACTGGACACAGTTAGGATTCACAGAGGTGACCACGTCCTTTTGAAACAATGCAAGTAAGGAAAGGGGAAAATCCTTTTAACTGGATTGGGGAACCCCAGGCGGGAGATCCTATGGGGGAGGGCTTCAGCTGCTCCCCCCCCAGCGCGTGGGCCATACTCACTTGTTGACATTGTGCTTGAGAGTCTCCAGCTGCTGCCGTTCGGGTGCCGTGATCATTTCCTCAATCTCCTGCAGCTGCGCCGCCTCAGCCCCCGTGGCTTGGACCGAGGCAAGGATGGCCTCCACCCGCTGGCTCTTCTCCAGCAGACGCCTGCCAGGAGAGAAAGGCAGATGGTCAGACTGTGGCTTCACCTGAACCACAGAGACTGCGAGGCCAAAGGCAGGGGACCTCGGAGATACAAGGCAGGGCATTTCCTGAGCGCCCCACAGCTCTGCCAGACACGGAGTTACTAAGGAGAGCATACCAGCTCTCCCCAACTGTCTCTGTCTCACTTCTGGATGGAGAACTCTTAAGGTTTCAACAGGCAACTGGACTTTCTTGTTTTTCTTCGAAGACGGTTCGCTTCTCGTCCAAGAAGCTTCTTCAGCTCTGACCGGATGGTGGGGAATGGAAGGATTTATACTCCTTGCAGACAACTGGTCATTTGCATTCTTTTTATTTATTTATTTATTTATTTATTTATTTTATTTTATTAAATTTATATTTTAGAGAGTCATTGAGGCCACTTGGAGGTTTATCTGTGTCCTCAGGGTCATCTGAGTGGTGCAAAAAATGGGAGTGGAACACAGTCCTTTCAGCAATTCCAAGAAGGTTCCCTATCCATTTGCACCACTCAGGTGACCCTGAGGACACAGATAAACCTTCAAGTGGCCTCAACGGCTCTCTAAAAGAAGGCAAATGACCAGTTATTTGTTTTTCTTTGAAGATGTTTCGCTTCTCATCCAAGAAGCTTCTTCAGCTCTGACTGATGGTGGGGAGTGGAAGGATTTATACTCCTTGCAGACAGCTGTCCATTTGCATTCTTTTTAGAGAGTCGTTGAGGACACCTGGAGGTTTATCTGTGTCCTCAGGGCCATCTGAGTGGTGCGGAGCCTTCTTGGCTGCAGGATGTTTCGTGCCCTGGGTTCCTTCACTGTTGAAGACAGGCGCAGGCTGTTGGGGATGTGTCTGTGTTATCTGCATCTCAAACAGAAGTGCAAATGGTTTCTGTAGTCTGCAAGGAGCATAAATCCTTCCATTCCCCACCACCCAGTCAGAGCTGAAGAAGCTTCTTGGATGAGAAGCGAAACATCTTCAAAGAAAAACAAGAAAGCCCAGTGGCCTCCTGAAAAGACACCTTCGGGACAACCGGGAACTGGAGGACGGAGAATCTCCATAGACACTTAAGGTTTCAAGCATCACTGCACAGAGTTGGGTTCAAAGGGCTGAATTGTAACCCAGGATTCCCAACTCACCGGTTCTCCTTGGTCTCGTGAAGCCGCCGTTCTATCAGGTTGGCCACACACTGAAAGGAAAGGAAATAAGAGGTCTCCGTGAGTGCAGTCTGGTGGCAGGAGAAGTTTAAAAAAGGGAAAGCAAGACGCAAACCTTGTAACAGCGCTGGAGCAGCATCCGGGCGGACGAGAGAGTATTGACGGTGTACAAGTAGAACGTCCGGGAAGGTGCGTGATCTGGAGTTTTGGGGATTTCCTGTTTTTGGGGGAGGAAAGCCAGGTTAAGAGATGGACTTTGCGAAAGTGGATACATCTCTACCATATTCCTGTCTAGAGCGCTGACGTTTCAGTCAAATTCCTGAGGAAATGGTTTCGCCCCCTCTCAGTGCCACCAGGAGGGCTTCTCCTCGGCCCCTCCACAGAGGAGGAATTTGGATCTCGTGTGTCAAAGAGATTCCTTTCAACTCTGGAATGTGAGGCAGTAAAGGACGTAAGGGAGATAGGGCGGTATATAAATTCTAATAATAATAATAATAATAATAATAATAATAATAATAATAATAATAATAATAATAATAATAGTGGCAAATAAAAACATGGCTGCGATTGTACATATTCTTTAATAAAATGAATGAAGCATTTGCAGGCTAATTCTACCGACTGCCAGCAGTTCGATCCTGACCGGCTCCAGGTTGACTCAGCCTTCCATCCTTCTGAGGTCGGCAAAATGAGGACCCAGATTGTTGTGGGGAAATGAGCTGACTCTGTAAACTGCTTGGACAGGGCTGCAAAGCACTGTAAGGTGATATATATAAGGCTAAGTGCTATTGCTAGCGCTATACTGCCTCCGAAAAGCTGCCCCAATAAAAGCAGCATCACTTTTGGCTCCCACATAGAAAGAAGAAGATATGCAGCAAACTGCTATAATTGGTTTTAGCTTGGATTCCCGAATTTTATCCAAAAGATTTGGAAAGAGAATAAGCTTTATGGATTCCATTAGGAGAGAGCGCATCATGCTTGATTCATTGTAATGGCATTCAACATTACTTTCCAGAATAGAATTGAATAGAATAGAATAGAATAGAATAGAATAGAATAAATAGAACATGAAGAGAGAATAGAATAAAATAGAAATAGAAATGGAATAAATACAAATAGAATAGAAATAGAATAAGAATAATAATAGAAATAAAAATTACAATAGAATAGAATATGAATATGAATAGAGAATAGAATAAAATAGAAATAGAAATGAAATGGAATAGACATAGAATAGATATAGAATAGAAATAGAATAAGAATAGAAATAAGAATAGAATAGAATAGTAGAAATGAAATGGAATAGAAATAGAAACAGAATAGAAATAGAAACAGAATAGAAATAGAAATTAGAATAGAATAGTAGAATAGACTATGAATAGAGAATAGAATAAAATAGAAATAGAAGTATAAATGGAATAGAAATAGAAATAAGAATAGAATAGAATAGAATAGTAGAAATGAAATGGAATAGAAATAGAAACAGAATAGAAATAGAAACAGAATAGAAATAGAATAGAAATAGAAATTAGAATAGAATAGAATAGTAGAGTAGAATATGAATAGAGAATAGAATAAAATAGAAATAGAAATGGAATAGAAATAGAAATAGAAATAAGAATAGAATAGAATAGTAGAAATGAAATGGAATGGAATAGAAATAGAAATAGAATAAGAATAGAAATAGAAATTAGAATAGAATAGAATAGTAGAGTAGAATATGAATAGAGAATAGAATAAAATAGAAATAGAAATGAAATGGAATAGAAATAGAATAAGAACAGAAATAGAAATAGAATAAGAACAGAAATAGAAATGAATAGAATAGGAATAGGAATAGAACAGAACAGAAGCTGGAAGGGACCTTGGAGGTCTTCTAGTCCAGCCCCCCGCTATGTGGGAATCCAGGGCAGCAGGTTGCTCTCTCTTTCATGACGAGGGGAACTGACCTTCACTCAAGAATCCCCTGGCCAACCTGCAGCTCCAGAAGGCTTGCAAAGCATCTCATCACTGCCTCCCCAGGTCTGCCAGAGCCCCCTCAATTCCCAGGCAAAGCCACTCGCAGCTCGGCCTTCAGGCGGGGCCAAAGGAGGAGAGCCGGTACCTGCAGAGCTACGATATTGGCCGACAACATTTTGTACATCATTTCTTTGGCTTCCTTGCCCGGGATCATGGCAAAGTCCTCGATCTGCTTCTGTTCCAGGTGCCTCTTTCTTAAGAGAAGGCGGAAAATGCGGGCACAGCGGGACCCGAATCTGTGTCCAGGAGGAAAAGTGAAAAAGAGGCTGTTCTGAGCAGGGCCGTGAAAAATGAATGAGCATTAATTCATGTTTGGTGGAGATGTGCCAAAGCAAAGAGCTATTGGAAAAAGATACGTGCTTGGCTCGAAAAGACGTTGGGAGAAACACGTAGATTTTAAACCTGAGCTTTTTTTAAAATTAGGCATAATGCCAGAAAAGACTGATAAAACAAAGTATATATTTTGACTTTGCATGTTACAACAGCGGCAAGAATTATACTTGCGCAGTGTTGGAAAAATGAAGAAATACCATCAGATGAAGAAATAATTAAAAAAACATTAGAATGCGCGGAGACGGACAGACTGACTCTGAGGCTGAAAGAAAAAGAAGAAATGGAATATTATCAAACTTGGGACTTATTTTATCGATGGCTAGAGGAAAGAATAAAGGATTAGCAACTAACGATGTATTAGCGAATGCAAACTCAGACAGCACGTTTGTTGAATAAATACTATTGAATGTATGGGGGGGAAATCAATAAAAATCTTTAAAAAAGAAAAAAGAAAAAGAAAAATGAACACATTTTCTCCTATACCGAAATATGAAAACTTTCATGTAAGCTGGAAAACAGGTATAGTTCTCTCTCTCTCCCTCTCTCTCTCACATACACACATACACACACACATTCTTCCATCTTTCCCTTCGGACCATCTCTTGCCGGTCACATCCACCCGACCCACTAGAGCGGGGAGGCAAAGAATGTTGTGGGTCCCGTTCCCTA